TCATGTTTCTGCTCATGGTATTAACAAAACCATGTGACCGAGTGGAGCGGTGTCGTTTATATGTTTTTTTGTTTTTTACTATTTTTGGACAACAATGGAGCTCTTTTTTCAGGTTTTATCTACCGCCACAGTTATCTGTTAGATTTTACCATTTGTTGGAGCAAACAAATTAACCTTCATCTTGTTTGCTGTGGGGTATATCAGGTTTCCTTCTTTCTGATGCATCAAAGGCAGGAAATACTTCTTACCCTTAATCATCTTCCTCCCCAAGGGGAGTTTCTCATTCTCATCACTCGGCAACCACCCAGTCACCATCAAGCATACAGAAAGAGCCAATGACAATCTAAACTGTGTACGCAGACAGAAAATTTCATACAATTTAGCACTAAACAGATTTCATCTCATGGCTGTTTGGAGAACAACAAGGAGAAATATGAGAAGCCTCATGCGGAGATTCAAATGAAAGTGCTGTGATCAGCAGACAAATATACATTTGGCTATGTCTCGTGGGACTTCCTACACCTCAGACCTTCAATCACAAACTGCCAAACAGTAGAAACGAGGCAAAAATGAACATGTTTACTCTGCTCGTAAAAGTGGAGTATAAGCACTCTGGCTGTTTCAAGGATTTTTCGTTTTGAGCTTGTGCAGCTGAGTCCATGAAATAAAACTCTGGAAATACATTCTGCTTCAAATTTGCACAAGTGCTGAGATGTTTTCCACATGAAAAAACATTAAAAGATTTCATTAGCAACTCAACAAGATGAAATCTTGGGCTGTATGGATAGGATAATTTATATTAGAACACATTTACACCGTTTCCTTTTTGCTAGCTGTCTTTTGGGCTTGATGTGCAATAATTTGAGTCACTAAACTGCACATCTTGACTGTTTTTGTGCTGTTGGTGCTTTTCATTGCATTGCAATGGATTTACAATAATATGGCTAATTAAGCTAGCCCCACCCTCTTATCCAAGAATGGTTTCACTCCAAAAACTCAGATGGAAATGGCCATAATGTACAGTGATCCTGAGCAACAATAACAGATAATAACGGGACGGAACAGCTGTGGAAGTGACAGAAGCCAAAACATGCGAAGGAATGCACTGAGATGCCTAAAAGAAGCAGACAATCTGTGTTGTGAGGGCAGGGGTGCCTCCAGAATGTTTTCATAGGGGTGGCTATATAGAGGGCACTAAAATGTTGGGGTGTGCTCTTCTGTCTGTGCGTGTGAGCGCACTTGCATATCTTCTGTATATAGTCTATGGTTTACTGGACAATAATACAAACCCTTTGGTTCAAAAAAATCTTTCACTCAATAAGATTTTCTTTAATTTAAGAGCCACCACTGCACGACGATGTTCGGCAGCAACTATTCAAAATTATTGTTTGCCTGTATTCCAATATATTAGCAACTTTTTATGTTTTTTTTTTGCAACAATATGGCTATTGGGTTGTCATATATTGACTTTAGCTGCTTTGCCTACATGGAAGAAATCCACATATAGGTAAAATGGATCAATTTGTCCATGCACATCAGTTTTGTTTGGATTCTTGGGGATAATTATAACCTTTGTAAATCTGTAAAAACCCTTTCTTTCTCTGTTATTACACTTCTCCAATTGCTGCTACCGCTCTTACTGCTCTCTTTCCGCCTACACTGAATATTTTTTAACCCACTGCTGAATGCATCAAGTTAACACCCCTGCTGTGAGAGCTTTTAGAGGATCGCTTGTAGGCTGAGAGAAAGTGGAAACATCAAAAATTCAAACTACACCATTAATATTACTCCTAGAATACACAGAATCTCACAAACTGATAACAGTCGAGAAAGGTTTTTCCTTCAAATGCAAACCTACATCATACTGCCCTTCTATTGCTCGCCTAGAAGAAACACTGAAAATGTCTCTGCCCTCCTCTCGTTTCCTCACTCCATGCCCTCGGGCTGATCAGTAAGCTGATCTGGCAGTGTCTCGTGTTGGATGGTCGAGAGACTGCAGCTAAAGTATTATAGAGCGAGTCATTCAGTCATTCTGCACGAGTGACTTATTGACTGGATATGCCCATGAATCAGAGCAACTAATTAATGCAGCTCTGACTCAGTCTTGATTGCAGGCTGTGTGATGGCGTGTGTGATTATAGCAAAGAGAGAGCTGACATTTTAAGCTTCAGTGGCTCCAGTGCCTGTCGGGACATATGAGAGACATCAGACCAAACTGTGGATACAGGGCGCTATGTGGGAAAACACATCTATGCACAGCTATTAATAGTCCTAAATGAAGATTTAAAGAGATCTGACTGGTTTAATAAGTGTAATCTGAGAAGGAAAAGACTATAGTAACAGCAGCTATAGCTATAGGAGTCTAATCAGCAATATCAGAGCAAATATTTGTAGAAATGTTTGTATTTCAAGTGAAACCATCATACTGGCACATTCTAAATACAGACTGCAGAGTATGAGTACACTAATCTGTGTCTTTGAAGGTCACATTGAGGCGTTAACAAGCTGACTGTGTACTCAGACTACAAAACAGCTTTTACAATGCAGCATACAGAGCAGCAGAGTCCTAGCAGCTCAGTCTCATCACAAAATTGAAATAATCACAAAAAAAAACCCCCAACCCGTTTGTATCTGTGCACTGACAGACAATCTGACAGACATTCATTTTTTTGTGACAGTCAGCACTATTTTGAAAGTGTTCATCCATCAGTCTTCTTAACCACCAATCCAACTCAGGGTCATGAAAGGGCCTATTCGAGCTGTCATTGACAGGAAGGCAGCGGGGTACAGTGCTAAGACAGACAGACAACCAGTCACACTCACAACCACCAGTTAACTAAACATGTGTCTTTTGACTGTGGGAGGAAGCAGGAGTACCTGTTTCTGTGTGCAGCACATGTGTTGACACATTAGAGGGTATGCATCACCATTGCAACCGAAAAAATGTAGCTTTGAAAGAGGGTAACAACCGTATTTAAACCCAAACCATGATTGTTTTCTAAACCCAAAACAGTATTTTTATTGCCTAACCAAACTGTAGTCTGCAGTGTATGAGCAGTGAAATGATTCACCACAATACCAACCCTTCCGCATCCAAACCTTTAGCCTTTTAAAAGTATAAAATATTAATTTTAATGACTATGTCATAAACTGCTGTGAGACTGCGCTGGTTCTATACATTGTTCTAAGCAATCAGATTAGCAGTAAATGTTTAAAACAAACCTGAGGATAATAAACACAAACTATGGAAGAGTACAGCAATACAGGAAGCTGATAGTGCAGCAATTAAACAGACTGGGCTTAATTAGGTCCTTTAATTACAAAAAAAAAAATACAATGACAAATTTATTTGATATTCATGTTTTTATATATTACTCAATTAATCTAATTTAACTCTAATAGAACGCTCAAACCAGTAGCAGTAGTAGTGACGACATTTGTAGAAGAAGAGATGGCCTTCCTGATGCAACGCCAAAGGGAACTGGATCCTTTGCTTGTTAGGCAAAGGTGTAAAATGCTACACTACAGAATCAGAACCAGAATCAGAATATTTTATTGATCCCTAGGGGAAATTTTGTACTACACTAAATTATGTACTATGTACTGAATTATATACTATACTACAGGGCCACTAATAAGAACACTTAGTAAAGGTTAGCAAAGGGGTGTAGAACTCCAGGCCTCGAGAGCCGGCGTTTTAGATCTCACCCTGGGTCAACACACCTGAATCAAATGATTAGTTCATTACCAGACCTTGGAGAACTTAAAGACATGTTGAGGAGGTCATTTAGCCATTTGAATCAGCTGTGTTGGATCAAGGACACATCTAAAACCTGCAGGACACCGGCCCTCAAGGCCAGGAGTTCGACACCTGTGGGTTAGCACATTTACTCCGGTTCTAACTCTGAAGCACAGCTGCAGATGGATGTTTGTTTGGTTAAAACTTTCGGATTAAATTTTAGTGTATGTTAAGGTCAGAGTTTGGCCTTGTGTTATGATATTTGGGATTAGAGTAAGGGTCAAAGGAGACGTGGGCAAAATACGACCCTCAGTCCGAATCAGCCCACGGACCATCTCAATCCAACAACCACAGAGAAAAATCAATCAAATCCAACACTGTGTTAATGAATCTCAAGAAGTGTGTCTCCAGCGAGTCTTTGGATATTCAGGCCTGTAAAACAATCTGTCATGTCCATCAAATTTACCGATTACCACACTTCAGCACCATGTGTGTCATGTTTGACTTTAGATGTCCTTTTTCTGAGAGAGTATGGCCCTCTGAAATACAACGTCAAACCTAAAATAAGCGGATTCTTTTCTTCTATTTTAAAACAAACATTAAGATGACATTCAAAAAGAGGGGTTAACATTTATTCAAATAAATCGTAAAACTGTTAAATCATCGATCAACGCATTTTCTTAACCGCTTATCCACTTAAGAGTCACGGGGACACTGGAGCCTAGCCCAGCTGTTATTGAGGCATACACCCTGGGCAAGTCGCCAGTATACTCTCAGAAATCATCACTGTGCAATATCAAAGAGCTTCTGCTAACATTATCAGGGAGAAAAGATCAATTACATGTATATTTTAACAAAATAGATCTTAAAGTCCAAAATTAATGAATAGAAAGTGTTTTATTAAACGTCTTTTTTTGTGATTTGTAATTCTTTAACTAACTTTTCCAATAAATTTGTTGTATTTCTATTACTTTTTATTTAATTTAATGCAGAGAATTTCTGCACCAATACAATGCGTAGCACCATCTAACATCATCTGTGGACTTTTGGCATCTCTCCACACTTTCACCATTTGTTTCTAGTTTTTGTTTTCACTGTTTTATCTCCTGCTCTGTTCCTTTATGGCCTCAGAATTTACTATTCGATTTGTCTTTTGTGTGTGTTTGTCTGGAATGAATAAAAGAAGAAAGAAAGCAAATAAGGAACAAAGAAAGACAGGAAGAATTTAACAAAAAGAAGCAAACCACCTGGCTGGACTCACCTTGTACTTGGCGGTCAGCTGTTCTGTGGCTTCCTGTTCCTTCCTCAGATCCACCATCATCCTCTCTTTCTCTCCCAGCAGTTTCTGCTTCTCGTCAGGAATCAAGTCCTGGTCTCCTCTAATGGCCTCCTTCTCCCTCTCTAGCCGCTGCTCCTCCAGCTTCATGTAGTCCTCTCCCTCCTTCTCGACCTCTTCGTCCTCTTCATCCTCAATCTCTTTCTCCTGGTCTCCGTCCCAGCTCTCGTCCTCCACCTGCTCACTCTTCTGTTTGCTCCTCCACTTCCTGTGGTTGAGCTGGGCCCTGAGGCGAGCAATCTCTCTCTGGAACTCCCGCAACAGAGCATCCTTGGGGTCCTCGTTGACTCTGGGCTGGTTCTGGATGTTCTTGGCCCGGTTGGCATACCGAAGGGTTGTGAGAGTCTCGTCGTAGTGCTGAGGGGCCGGGCCAAGTGTGGCAACCATAACAGTCTTAGCATTCCCGCCCAAAGAGTCCTGTAACAGCCGGGTAAGCTTGGAGTCCCGGTACGGCACATGTCCGCTGCGCCCATCTGCCAAAGCGGAGATAACATTTCCCAGTGCTGACAGGGAAAGGTTGATCTTGGCGGCCTCTTTCAGGCGCTCGCCCTGGACACCGGTCTTGGCCTGCCGCTCGCTGCCAGCCAGGTCCACCAAGTTAAGGCGTCCAACCCGTATATGTTTCCTCCCATCTGGCCCAGGCTGACTGCACTCCACAGTGATCAAAAACAAAGCGTGGGACCTGGACGAATGTTCATTCATGTCTGTTGCCCCAACCGCCCTCGCCTGATTGCCCACATTCATCACCTCCTCGATCTCCTTGATGCTCTTGCAGACACAGGATGTGAGATCTTGAACATACACACCAGTGTCTGGATTTTCTCTGAGCTCCAGGGCTCTAGCATTGCCATGATTGGGGTCAAGAAGATCCCGAACCTCCTCTCGGTAGATCTCGAGGTAGGACGCCCGCACTAGGTATTGCTTGTCAGATTGGGAGCGGGAGATGTGTGTGAAGATATGGTCAAAGGCATTGGGAATCACACCTCGTCTCTCTGGGTCCAGCCACGCTCCCTGCATGGTGTATGTCTTCCCAGTTCCTGTCTGCCCATAGGCAAATATGGTGCCATTAAACCCTCCCAGCACTGAATCTATCAGCGGCCGCACGCTCTCGTCATACAGCTCTCGCTGTTTGGAGTTTGCATCATACACTGCATCAAATGTGAATGTTTTCTGGGGCTCGCTTGGTGGTGCACGAGGGTTTCTGAGGATTACTTGTCCCAGCCGTAGGTCCATCTGCACTATTCCCCCTGCAGGCCCATTGGACTCCTCTTTCCGGCTCAAAGGGCGGCATCGAACTACCACCTTCACTGACTCACTGCTCTTGTTCTTTGACATGACTGGCTTCTGTTACTCGTTGCAAACAACAAAAAAGGAAAATGTGTATTATCTAAGTCCACAAAGCCCTCTGAAGTCCTTAATGAGCATATATCCCGTCTGTTAACTGCATGTGTTTCTTTAAATCATTCATTTAAAAAAAAAATCATTATGGCTTCTTGGTCATATCACAATGGAAAACAGCCACAGTGCCAAATAGCATAGACACAGATATTTACCAATACAGATGATGAATTGCCACTGTGTGTAACAGCCAGTTTCCTTGGCTTATTGTGCGTGAATGAGCCTATAAGCAGACGGACGACCAGCACCTCTCACGCTTTGGATCGACGCTCCATTGCAGTCCTATGAAAAAAGAAAAGATCCAACAACGCCGGTAATGACACAAATCAGTTCAGACATCACACGCATATCGTCCTTGGCGTGCAGCTCCGCCGCAGACCGCTGTCCGCATCCTCCCGTACTCCGCGCAGAGATGCTCCGAGGTGGATTTGCAGCTCTCGGTCCGTCCGGAGAGACAGAGCTTCCTTCTTGCACACCCCCCTCACCCCCACATACACAGTCATTCAACCATCACCACACCCCACATCACTGCGGACTGGAACAAAGAATCATGGGAAATCGAGTTTCGCCTCGCCAAAGACTCGATTCTTGTCCAAGGCTGCCACCAACTCGTTAAATGGTCACGGATGGTTTGTACAGCTGGGAATTGAAACTGGACCGTTTGCGTGTGTGTTTACACAGTGGATGTCCCCATAATTTGAAACATTTTCTTAAAATTATAGTTCATATGTATTATTATAGCCTCACACCGATATTTAGCCCACACAGCTTCCCATTTAAGTGCATTAAGCTTGGGAAAATTTATACATAACCCTTTCATTACACACTGGATGTTGTCATAAAGAAAAGTTCATCTAGCTGTTTATTTTCGAACTATAAAAAAAAACAAATAAACATGGGATCTCCTCTAAAATTAAAATAAAGCTTTGGCCCTTGAAGAGTTCTTGGGTACCCAGCAGGAGTCTGTATTTACTGGTTCACTGAAGGGTCAGCTGGGTTATTTCCTGCTTTTGTGTAATTACCTCAGTTACCTCTATTCTCACAATAATAGAGACTGAAAATATTCAAGAAGCCATACTGTCACTACATAAAAACACAATAAAAAGGTGATGTGATCAAACAGGACTGGCGCTGGATACTTTATTGGAAATAGATTTGTTGCAAGAAAAATACAGAGAATATTATTGTAGTTTATTTTTGATTGATTGATTTTGCTCCAAAAGGAAAATAAAAGCACCATCCCTCCTCTAATGATCCATGTATTGTCAAGTCAACACTGTGTGACAGACGCTTTTCTTAAAATCTGGCTTTTGTCCAGTGGTTTTAAAGAAAAACAATAGATGCATCTGTCAAGGGGATTATGCAGAATTTTTCAGAATGCAACATTAACTACAGCAAAGACACTGCAAAGGTCCACAGCTACAGTAAAGACTGGGATCTGTTGGAAAGTGGTTTTCAGTTTTCAGACAGTTTGATAGTGACATCATAAAAAAAATTAACTAAAGAGTATAAAGAATTATGATCGAATCCTGTACAGTATCAATAAAAAATAATTAAAACAGGACCCATATGTGCAGAAATTATCTAAAAAAAAAATAAAAAAAAATAATTTGCCAGAAAGGTGACTCTGCGCTGTGTAAGTATAGTCACTAGATCCTCGAGTTATGTCAAAGAAAAAACAATTTCCTTCTAATTTGGATGAATCCAGGAAGTATAACTCATATTTAATTGGCTACACAAGAAACGGAGTAATTTCCCACATTCATGACTCCTCTGTTGAAGGGAGAACCCCAGTTTGTATACAACTGTTGTCCCAAAGCAACAAAAATTTAGGGCAAGGAGGAAAAATGTAAAATGAATCATTTTAAGACTCATCTAAGAGCATTCAAATGCAACACATTAGCGCCCTCTGCTGGATCAAGTGTGTCGTTAAAAGCCACCTAAGTAGGTCGGGAGGATTCACGTGAGTAGTCTTTCCAGGTGTAATGGAGGAGGTGACGCTGTAGTGTAGGTGATTTCTGAGCGATTCTCTGGGAAACTACCGAAGCTTACATTCAACTACTTCCCCCAACCCCTGTGTTCGCTGACAAAAAGGTGAAAATCTCAGCCACATGGGGAATTCAACACACGGTGGGAAAGCTAATGGACACAAATGACTCAACACCTCACTGAGCACTGAGATGTGTTTAATGTGCCCGGGGAAGCAATAATAAGTAAATGTACTGGACTGATGAAAATAACACAGCGAAAATTCCCCGGCTTAGGTGTCACCTTTTATGAGTCACTCACAGCCAAGTGACTCAAGCTCACCACAAACTATCCAGCTATGTGTGAAGTAAATATCTGGATATGATTGCGGGTAATTTGTATTATTTGTATTTTATAAAATGCTAAGCAGGTAATTTAAAAGTATGGTGCGAAATATCAAGAATTTATGGGTTTCTACTGAAATAAATGAGCTTTCTGAAGTTTATTGTTGGACCAAAATAGGTCAACCAAGTAGTTGTTTCAGCCCCAGTGCACAAAAAAATCAAAGTGCTCCAAGCCAAACAGTTTGAGGCCCGAATCAGCTTGCATATCTTCTTCATATAAGCTACAAAATAAATACGTCCCCAATGGACCGTTTTCTTTTTCTTTTTTTTTTAATCACAGGCAGAAGGAAGAAATTTGAGAGTTGCTGTTCCTGCGAGGCAAACCCCAAAGGCCCCCCGAAAGAATTTCTATGTTGATTTATTAGAGTGAAAAGATTTCCCAACAGTTGAGGAAGAATGCAGTGATTCATTTAGGATTTAAAAAATGTTCTAATTGAGCAAGTGACACATAAAGAAAATATGAGATAAATGATTCCCCATTTCCGGACAGGAAAAATCATGGATCCTGTAACTGTGCAGGCATTCGTGGATTTAAGTAAACACAGCATAACAACGTGTGTATTCACTGGATCACTTAAAGTATATAAGCTTTCATTATAGTCCCTATACTTTATCACTTTAATGAATCACTTTGTGACTTATTGACTGCAGGTTTGAGCATGTGTGTCTTTTCTTAATTTTCCATATAGTGGATAACTCTTTTCTTTCCCGTGGGTGTTTGCCTGGGGAAGATCTGTGGTTGGTTGGCTCATAAAAAGTAAAGGGACCGATGAAGCTTTGTTGACTTTGGTCCACTGCAATGTGGCGAGGAACTTTTAACTCCTGGCTTTTCATCTAGCACCACAATGTGGTCATATTTCAGTTTGTTCAGTACTCTGGTGGCATTGTGACAGCTCTCTGTAGCAGACGGAGAGTTGCTGGAGTGGCAGTATAGACTATTTAGCCCTGTTCAAACTTTCTTTTTCTCCGACTTCTTTTTCTCTCTTCATATCTTTCTTCCTCAGTTTGCATCAAGTCTGTACTTGGCAGTGGAAAGCAGGGCATACTCAGCATTCCTAAGGAGTGTCTGAGAGTCAAACAACTCTGACAGGCGGAAGAAGGAAAGAGTCCCTGTCCTTTCTCACAAACACACAAAGCCAACTCTAAAAGGCCCTACAGCAGTTACGTGTACATGCAGACTGTCTTTCGGTGTGTATACTTATTACAAGACTTTAGAGGATCAGTGACCTTGCACTTCACAGAGCAGAGGATGTGGGAAACGCCCGTAACAAGCACAGAAGAACTTACATATGACATCACTTTGCCTGACTCACAGCTGGGATAGTCACCGCACCAACTGCCAGCTTGCCATGAAAGCTGAAACACCCCGGCTACTAGAGATCCGCATGAAACTCGTCGCCATTTTGGTTCACTAGCGGCATTTCACAGTGAGATATGAGCGGCGCTTTGAGCCTAAATGTCAGCGTACGTTACAGAGTAACATTTGCCCTTTCTGTCAGGCTAAGACACGCCCCCTTTTTACCGCTACAATGCCTGCTTGGATAGCCATTCAGATTAGGGCGCTTGAAGGAGCAACAGCTGAAATGGCCAATCAGAGCCGTGAATTTTGACAGAAGGGGCGGGAGTAGGCGTGCCAAAAGGTCTAGGGTGTCGCCGCGGTGGCTCCCATTCGAAGGCGACGGCGGTCGTCTGTATTTCGGTCTAATCTCTACAGAAAAAAAAAAGTGAAATTACTTGGAACAGACAGCAGATTCGGCGCACTTTCATGTCTTGATTTTTCCCAGTTTCTTCTCGGTCGAGCTTGTCCCAGGGCTCTGGAATGACGGGGTGTGCCGAGAATCTGAATTAGCTCGCCGTTAGTTTGAAGAAAGAGTGAATCGGGGTAGAGTGCGAGAGAGGAGCCATTTTGTCCCGACTGTGTGGGAGAAAAGAAAGAGTGAAAAAGAGGTATCACACAGAAGGAGATTCTATTTTTGCTCTCATGCTGTAAGGGGGGGTACCACGGTCGGGTTTGGGAATCTAGAACTTCTAGGACGACTCTACAGACACATTATTTTGGGTGGTGTTTAGCCAACTAGCTTGCCAAAGCTAATCAACAAATCCACAGTTTGTTAACTGTTAACAGCCAAGAGGACAGTTGTTGGTCAGGTTGGCCAAGGAGCTGGCTTTAGACTTCACATAGGCGTACTCTAGGGTATCGTTTTTTGTATCTATCGGGGTGAACACAAACTGATTCTTCAATGGCGAAGAAGACGTACGACTTGCTGTTCAAGCTGCTTCTGATCGGCGACTCGGGCGTGGGGAAGACCTGTGTGCTGTTCCGCTTCTCTGACGACGCCTTCAACACAACCTTCATCTCCACCATAGGTAAGAAGATCACGGGCGTTGTAACAGGTGATTTCGTTGACCCTTCTGCATCCACCGGAGGTAGTGTGACAGCTGTGAGGCTCGCCTGCCTCTACCCTGCAGCTGGAGGTTGTATGCAGGACGGATTTGTTGGCGGCTAGTGTGGTATGAGCATGCAGCAGCTCTCTCTAGGGCCTGTACAGGTTAGCTGGAAAGCTAGTTGCGCAGCCTTTATGAGCTCTTACTAAACCATCACTTGCTCATAAACGATTGCGACGTTAATAACAAAACGCTATCATTATATCTTGGTTTGGTTTAACTGGGCAGCAACAATTATAGCCCGTTAAGTCTCCAAATTTGCTGTCAGTTTACTTGACCCAGCGGCTAAGAAGCTAGCAAGGCTAGTAGCACCACAGGGCCGTGCTGCACTAGAAAAATCGCCTGTGCATTTAAGTGACAGGTGTTTACTTCTCAGTATCAGCCTATATAGGTTTATTGCACAGTCCTTGTCAGGAATTACACGTTAAAGGCAACAACTGTATGAGTGTTTTGATTTGAAGCAACAAAAAATACTTGATTGTAAAAGCAAAATTTTACTTGATTATCACAAGTTGAAGGAGTGATTATTCACGGGTTCATGGTTTCATGGATATCAGAATCAGAAAGACTTTATTTATCCCCAAGGGGTAAATAAGATACAACAGAGCAGCATGACGTTGAAGATAAGGACAGGGTTCATGCTTCAGATTGTTGTCACCGCTAATAGTAATGGAGGTGAAGCTGTTTAAGCGACTTGGATATTCTAGCATTGGGAACTTGATTATATGATGTAAGAAATTAACTTTTTAGGTGAAAACTTTGACTATAGTGAATCTAATTGTATAAAAGCAGCTGAAAATTGCATTTTCTTTCTAAAATTAGAAGCGCTTATAGTTTGTATTCTAAGTACTTGAGTAAATATTGTATACTTATTTACTTTGCTCAAGTGCGCCAGTGAGAACCATTAAACAATTCATCATGATGGCATCATCATCCCCTCCCCATCCGTCCTATTCACGCATGCGCCAAACATCACGCTCACATGAGTCAAGTGTCAAACTATGTCAAGTCCCTGCATAACCCAAGTGAAGGCTCCATTTACTCCTCTTGCTTAAGATTAGTGATGAGTAATAATGTAATATAAAACGTGCTTTGCTTGACTGCAATGTGCTGGTGTTATGTGCTCGATTCATGGACTGAGCTTTCTTCTGAAGCCGTGCTCTTTGTCACTACATAGCCGAAAGCACACAACTGGAAAGGGAAAATGTATTCTCACTGGCATCCAGGCTAGATTAGATTTGTTCAGCTAGAGCACTGACCTGTCACTCTGTTGTAACTCTTCATGTCACATGTACTCGTTTTATTGTTTTTGTCATTCCTTTAGTTTTGCTTTGACTTGCAGGGTGTTTGTTTTATTACACCCCATGTCGTTTCTCAGCATGCAGTCAATTAGATTTAGGCCTATGTGTTTTATTTGAGTCAAAGCCACCACATCAGATCTGTGTCACTTAAGGGAAGAAATGTGTAGTGTTAGTTGGAAGAAGGGGAAAATTGGTCCAGACTAACAGGTTCTTCAGCACGTAGAGATCGGTAGTGACCTTTGCTCCTTGCATACGTGCTTTCCTGGCAAGATGGGTAGTAAGTCAGTACTTTTATGTTTTTAAATCAGCTACAGGTGCTTTATTTGCTTTGTTAAATATATTCTATATACTCTGTGTACTCCATGTGAAGCAGCTGAGGATAATGTGTTAAAATGGTGCTGGAGGTATTCACACCGTAAACACAAGGGATTTTCCTCCAAATTAAAAATAAATGTGGTATCATCATCCAGACTAAAAATCAACAGGGTTGGAATGAAAGTACCGTTCAGTTTATTTATGTGGTGTTTCTTTTACTCAAGCATAAAATACATATTTGTTTATCAAATGGCCATAACTAAATGGGAATGTAAATACAGACTTGATGCTTTAACTGTGTGCAGATGTAGTCATCGCCCCTAAAGGTCCCTTTTGAGGCAGGAAACCCCGAAACATACCCAGTTTCTGTGTAGTCCATAAAAACAGAGTAGCGTTATCTGGCACAGCTTCACCTACTTCTAAGGTGCATGGATAAGAACAAAAAGTCAGAATGTGTTGTCACTCATGAAGGTCTAAGTTCACAAGCCAAAATGCATCAGTCAGATAATAAAGTAGTTCTGTATATTGCAAGTGTTGCTGGAGCTTTAACCTCTGTGTAGTTACGTGGGAACAAATTATGTTGGTTATGAAGGTATTTAAAGTATCAACGTGATCAGTCACAAGTGCTTGAAAAGAAAGTGTTGACAACACTCACTGTGGTCAGTTTAGTTTAGGAAGTGATCGTTTTAGAGTGTTCAGTTTGTTATGATCTGTCAACTTGAAACCTAAGAAGAAATACTTGGAAATCAAGGAACAGAAATGATCTCAAGTTGTTGTTTTTTTGCTGGCTCCTTTGTAGAGTGTCCTCTATAAAACTGCAGCATAGTTCGTGCACTTGAAAGCTCCTGGCTCGTCTCTTGTCTTTGTTCTACATCTGTATTCAAAACAAAGCCGCGTGCAATGTGATAAGCTGTAAAAATTGTATGTAGAACATGTCATCTTTCTCCAGTCACGTAATCTGTACGTAGATTGGTGTATATGGTTATCAAAGCAAATCTGTAAAACTATACTTTTAAGATTATTTCAATCAGTACAGTTAATAATGTTCTAGCGAATCGTATAATTACAAGATACCAATAACTTGTATGTAAAGGTTGAATACATACTGGATACTGTAAAAAATACTGTATTTTTAAGCTTAGAAACCCAGACATTGTTAACAAGAAGTTGTTGGGTTTTTTGTTTTTAAAAAGTTGCAGGCAAAATGGGGGGAAAAAAGATAAATCAGTGCTAAGACAGTTAAAAGAAGACAATGGTAGATGGATACCTTTATTTTTAAATAAATAAATAAATACATACATAAATCTTGTCTTGTCTGCAGTGATACATCAAAACTGTGCAGTATAAATGTCTCTGGAATATATATCTATGTAGGCACATTTATACATATCTAATCCAACAAAGACTTGCAAATGTTTAAAGAGTAGGTGTGTAACCAAAACAATGGTTCAGTCTGTGCCTCGGGTTTTATAAGGAAGGTATGAACAACAAGGAAAACACAATCACTTGAACAAAAATGAAACTGTATTATTCGATTTAGACTCTGTTATTTGCAATTCACTCATCACCTGAACAATCGGTACTGCTTTCACCAGACTAGTATGCTTTATCAGTTTCACATGGATATCACAGTACAGAAAGCCACAATATTAAATTGTGGATGTTTGTATATGATTTCAGTCTCATTTTCAGAACTGTCATGCCTCTAGTCAAGAGGCTAGGTTTGAACATGAAAATGGGGTCCAATGAAACCACTAGCATGTGATAACCCTGCCACAACTGTGAGTGGTTTGAGGTTGGGGATGAGCTTATCAAGCAGAAATACTTTTCAGTATTCACTAGAAACTGTCACTCTCTTGCTCAGGACCAGTGCCACTGTGGCAGACCTGACATGCTAGCTTTACCTGGTGGCTTATGCACCGCACCTAATTCTTGAAGAAGTTTTACACATTTTTTTTCCTTTTTTTCTCCTTGTACAATATCATCTATTCTCACTGTGCCACACATACTTTACCAGCCTGACCTGTGGTTGTCAGTAGTGCATTCTTCTGTTTTTGTTGTTTAAGTGGTTGGTGGGAGACAACTTTACATTAGATCCACAGCTTTTAACCTATCAGACAGTGGTCAAAAACTATTGAAGGATCTAGTCACCAGGATGTTACTCTCTAGTTTTGGACTTAGTGTTTTGAAGCTTTGTGTTAGTGTTTTGGCTGCCACCATGTTGTTCTTTTAGAACCAGGAGTTAATTAGTTTGATAGCTCAGTTACCTAACATATCAGCTAATGCCTAGCAAGCTTGGTTGGAAAGCTACATGTGTTAACTGTACCTGTGCAACATCTCATTAGCACAAAGAAACTGGCTAATTAAATACTAGAATTTGATTTCTCGCGATCTTTGAAAAATAGTGATGTTTATTTATTTATTTATTTATTTTAAAACCGTATCACTACATTAAGCAACAGATAAAATGGCCTTTCATTTGAGATAATGCTTACAAG